TTTGATAAAATCAGCTTAACATATTGAAATTGATAAGAATAAGGCATTTACCAAGGCTTTTACAAATATTACAGAAATACCTATTTTTAATCAGTTTGACATCTGGAAACCTTACGATAATACAGTTGATATTAATGAACTTCATGAACTAACATTATATTATATTGAAACTGAACACGCAGGAAAATTACAGACACAGGCAACTATGGACAAATTGAAGCAACTTATCAAAAGAAGGGAAGAACACGAAAATATGTAAGATTAAATGCAATCGCTGTTGAGTGAGGAACAGATGACAAATTATATAAACCAATTCAGGGATACAAATACCCCTGAATTTATGGGTTGTAAAAAATTTGAACATTACATAAACACAGTGCTATTTAAAAAATCAAAAAGGATTGATGTTTAACAAAAAATATAATTTAGTTTATGGTAAGTTTTTAAAAGAGTTTATTATTCAAAACAATATTAAGATATTATATTATAAACAACCTTCATTTATTCATAAGCTTGATTATCAAAGTATTTTAAATGAGTTATGGATCACCAAGGTAAGTGAGGATATAGACGAGGATAAACTTGTTAAAAAGTTAGTAGCAAATGTTAATTATGGATTATTCGAGAAATGCGGAGCAACAGACCAGAAAAGCATACCATTTAAACATCTTAGTGAAGCATTGAAGTATCAAGCACAATATGGAGGCAAATTACATAAACTAACAGATATGAAGACAGAAGAAGAAGAAACATATAAGATAATTGATGAAACAGAACAAACATCATACTATATTTTGAATTTAAAAGACAGCAATATTATAAAATGGGTTTAGATATATTAAACTTCTATCATTGCAACATCATAGTTATCATATGAATCAAGATTGTTATAAGCTGATATTAACTAAAATTAATGTAAATAGTGTTAAAACTGATGCATTTGTTATTTGATACATGTGATTTAGACGAAGCAAGAGAAATATTAGATTTCAATGATAATATAGGTGGATGGAGAATTTCAATAAATGAAGAAATTAAGTTACCTACTGTAAAAAATGAAAAATATGAAAAATGAATTAGTAAAAATACCAGTTTATGAAAGTAAGGAATTATTTCCAAAAGATGAATATGACACAAATAATATTATTGATGAGCACATAATAGCAAATAAACATGTAATCATAAAAGGCGAAGTCCCGGGCACAGGAAAGAGGTATATTTGTCAAAGAATGATTGATAGAGGTTATAATGTAGTTTTTATTTGTCCTACAAATAAACTGCTACAATCATTTGAAGGTATCGCGATAACAATGAATAAAAATTTCGGAATATCATTTAGCACTGTCAAATTAGATGATTTTGATTATACTGATTACGATTGTATTGTATTTGACGAAGTATATTTTAGTAACATTTGCATTTACTAGAGAATAAAACAATTTATCGAAAATAACAAAGATAAAGTAATAATTGGCACCGGTGACGCGTTGCAACTCAAACCGATACAAGAAAAATAGCAAATACAAAAGATTATCAAACTTATGCTGATGAAACATTAGATAACATTTTTCCATTTAAATTAACTTGTAAATATGTAAAAGGCTAAATAATGAGAGTGGTAGAAACAAATTATATGATATAAAAAATGATATTTTTGTTGATAAATTACCAGTTGAAACTATTATTGAAAATATTTTGAATATACAACTGACATCAGTAGCTCAAAAAATAACATTGCATTTTTAAATAATACTTGTAGGAATGTATCAAGTGAAATTAGGCAGTTAGAACATAGAAAAGATGAATATGAGGTTTCAGAATTGTTAATCTGCCGCGAATATACTAAAACTAAAACATCAGTTTTTAATGTAAATTTCAAGTACAAAATCGTCCATATTGGAAGCGGTGGAATTTTTACATTGAAAAATATTAAACCTGAAATACTACAATCTTTACCAGTTGATAAAATAAGAAGCAATTTTATATTTAGTTCATGCTGTACGTGCCATTCTGCACAGGGTGGTAGCATTGATGGCACAATCACTATTTTTGATTGACCATTTCTTGGTAAGGAATTATAGAGAGTGGCTGTTCACAGCGATCACGAGAGCCCGCGATTTGAATAAAGCTAAGTTTTCAAATATAGTAATGATACAGATGATGTATTTAAAGAAAAATGTATTTTAAGTTATTTTGAAAGAAACATACTAAATTACAAAGAACAGGACAGGAAATCCAAGAGAGATAAATCAGACAGGTTATGTTAATGTCAAGTGGTTGTTAGATAATATCAAAAATCAATGTAATTGCTGCGGATGCGGTTTTTCTATTGATGCGAAAATGGTAATATGATGACGAATCTAACAGCACAAAGGAAAAATAACGAGCGACCGCACGAATTGACTAATATTGTTCGTTATTGTGCCCGTTGTAATTGTAGTTGTAAATAATGATAGTAAGATTTCTTGTAAAACGTATTTAAAGAAAAATAATTATATGTATTAATAGAAATAATGCTATTCACTTATCACAACTGTAAATACTGTAAAATCAATAAAGAGGACACATTTACTTTAAGACAGAAAATGCCAGTTGAAATTTGTTATATGATTAGTAATTTTACCCGCATTGCGCCACGTGTTCTAATATGATATTGCAGGAAGAACAGTTTATTCATAGAAAAGCACTATATGGAGATGGTTTAAGCGAAATAGAATATCAATTACGCTGGTTTTCAATTCACAACAAAAAACCTCTCATATATGATTTTAGATTGGATGATGACAGAGTATTAAAGAAAGAAGTTGACAAATTATTTGACGCGGTTGATGTGAAAAAGCCTTACAGATAAACAGTGCCGATTAGCGATAAAATCATTTGCTAAAAAAATGCTCCTCATTCATTGTTTGCTTGAAAATTTGTACAACAAACAAAATGCAAGAAGAGTTTTAGATTATAGTAGTGAATATTTAATGACACCATACAAATTTAGAAATAAGTATTAACATCCAATAAACGTACTTATGAATTTGTGAAAACATACATTTTCACATTGCTCGGTGATGATATTTGCTACGTTAATAAAGAAGATGTGGATGACTATGTGTGTGATATATTTGATTATTGAATAAACCCAACCTTGCCATTCTTTCCGCCATATGATATTCCCCAAAACTTGTTCATATTTTTTTAATTCTCTGAAATGAATAACCCGAACCACCTACATTCAAAGAAATCTATGATAAAAATTATTGTGCACCATTTTATCATAAATTTTGGAATAATATTTTCGAAAATTTTGCAAAATGATATTTCGGAAAAGTTATATTTTGAAAATGTTGTAAAAATAAAAATTGAAAATCTTGAAAAATACATTTTATGAAATTTTTGAAATTTTTGTAAAATTATATTTTTGCAAATTTGTAAAATTATATTTTTGAAAAATGTATTTTTTGAAATTTTGGATATAAAAATATTGAATAGACTACCGAGGAATTTACCTCTTTTGAAATGTTGATGATTGAAAATGGGCTGTTGTGGGGCGCTGTTTTAAAATGTTGCCAAAAGTGTAGGGGGGGGCTACGGTTCAAATGAACAATTGCGGATGTATGTGCCGAATTCTAACTTAAAATGGCTTGTTTCCTGTTAGTTTCACTTTAAAACTGTTTCAAAGGGAGCCCCCAATTTTGACACATACCTACCGAAAACACGCCACATGGCTGTCTAGGAATGGTTCCGTAGCGCTTGGCTCTGCGTACGGCATCATCGCATATTATCACATCGGAGTCCATGGAGCTGAGCGACACGCGCGTGGAGGACCAGGGACCAGGGTGGGTGTTCAATGAACAGCATGTAGCGGTCTGTCTCAAACTCAGAAGAACCGCAAATCAATGATTTTCCTTAAGCCCCCCCTTAAAACCAGTCAAAAAGGGGTCACCAGATTTTGAGACAGACACATGTAGCTGCCTCTCTCCAGTTTCGAAGGCGTAATTACCATGAGGGCGCTACCGCTTTCCGCGATCGATTTGGTCTTGATATAGCCTCTCGGATCACGTTCGGCAGCGTATGGCCCGTTCTTCATTCCAGCATTCCTGCACTCTAGCAACCGCTTGTGCAACCTCGGAGCGCAGGCTCAAGCAGGTGCTGTTGCATAGATGTTTAATGCGTTTTTCTAGTTAGACACACAACAAGCAACTGACTATTCGACTAGTTCCTTTATGTTGTATGAATGGACTATTCGACATGTTATTTGAATTTCACGTAGTGAAGGCTTCATTTCCTTTCAAACCTAAGACTTATAATCTCCTTGTGGTCCCAGGGTCGCCGAAGTCGCCTCGAGCGGCAAAAGCTGGCTGCAAGGCTTGTTTCGTTGGCGCATGGAGTCAGGTAAGTCAGGTCCTAAGATGGCCCCAGGCGTTGGCAATGCCATTCTCAGGTCCCGTTCAACGGGGGATTCATTAACGGGGTTGCCTACCTAACATCTTACCGACCATGGGCCCAAACAGCCCAAAAAGGAAACCCGTTTATGGATCCCCCGTTTAGGGCCCCCAAAGCGTAGGACAAGCTAGGGCGATGTTCTTGCCAGCGTCTTGGCCTTCCGTTGCCAAATGTTGCGTCGCGCCAAACGGTTGCAGCGCGACGCAATTGTTTGATATGGGTGTTTCTCAGAAAGGGGGATCCCAAAAATGGCTGGTTTCCTATTGGTTTCCCTTTAAAACCAGCCAAAACGGGGTACACCATTTTGAGAACCCCCCATATAGTGTTGATGATTTGCATTGCTTCATTCACTCAATTCAGATGAGCAACAAGCACGCCCCAGCAGGATCCCACTAAGTGTACGCAACAGAGGCATTTGGAAGATGCCATGAGTCAAACTGCACAGCGATGCGCGGTGGCGATGCGCTAAGTCGGTGTCAGTTTACGAAGTTTCGACAACACGCGGGCAGGAGTTCCTGAGGCTGTGGAAAGGGACCAATCACTTTATCCCCAAGAGCGCGCCCATGCTGATGAATTTCATGGAAAAGGTTACCGGCCAAAGGCAGCCCAAGAAGGGCGGATCTTATTCCCCAGAGCACTGGAATGGCTTGGTCCGGCAGGTCAACCAGGTAATGCGAAGGTGGAATCCATCAGCTGCCTCCAAAGATGTGTTCAAGTACGACGCGGGCAGCGTGAAGCGACGACTGCGTGGAAATTTGACGCTGGGCAGTGATTTGGCGCATTTTGCAGCTTCAGAGGGCATTGTTTCCTGTCCCTCTCGAACCTGCCGACCTGCGGTCATGCGGTCATTGTGCGTCCAGGTTTGTTTGTAGGATGCCTCAGAGGACTTTGTTTGACTTTGTTTCCTGCCCCCTTCGCCTGCCCGCGGTCAGGGTCCAAGTTAGTAGGACGCTTCTGCGGAGGACGGAGCTCTTCCAGGCCCCCACCGCTGCCGCCATCCGGAAGGGTGTGGCTGGGGCGGAAGACGGGGCCAACGAGTCCATGCTGCTCCCACCTGCACTTGTCCCACCGGCTCAAGCCTCTCCGCCACAGGCGGGACACACGACCCTGAATCCGATCCATGAACACCTTCCAGACCCTGACGGCTGTTGACGCTTCTGCCGTTTATTTATGTTTAGTGCATTTGTGTCTGCGCAGGGGCCGGCGAATTTGAAGCCACGCGCGCTGACAGGAAGTGTGCAGCCTCACCCGCGACATCCTGAAGGTGGAATTCCCAGCGATTTGCCAACACTTCCGAGGGGTCAGCGCAATGTCCTACAAGCTGTTGTTCGATCAGGAAAGCTTGCTTGAGTATTGGAGCGGACCGGTCCGCCGAGACGGACGGACCACAAAGGCGTCAAGGATTCTGTGGTCAGGGCTGCCAGTGGGCCAGCATGTGGCCACCATGGCAGTGCTCACTTGCAAGCTCTTTGAGTCGCCTTACGCAAAAGCCAAGAGCTTTTGCATGTGCTTCAACAGCCCGAACCCCCACGGCTGCTCACAGAGCTGCTTGTTTTGCCACCTTTGTTTGTCCTGTGGCTCGGCGGAGCATGGCTTCAGCGCCTGTGACAAGGCCCAGAAGCTGCAGATGGAAGCGCTGAAGTTTTGGAGGAGCTTTGGAGTTGATCCACTGGACCCGGCCGCGGTGCTGGAGAACCAGCCCCTTCAGGAGACCTTGCAGACCTTGGCAGACGGCGCGCAGGACACGGAGGACGATAAGGATGGTCCTCTTGACTGGCACACAACACCGGAGACGCTGCCGGAGACGCAGACTGGCAACCCTCCTCCAGCTCAAGATGGCAAAGTGGACATGAAGGAGCGTCACCGCCGAGCTGTCTTGGGGACAAGCGCATGGTAATCCCTTTCCCCTAATAATAAACAATGAATACCCCGCCCCTGCCCCCCCTCATAATGAATATTCCTTGAGGGGAACAAATTATTAGTTTGTCAATTGGTTGTAAAAAGTACAAACTTTCAACGGGCAAAGGCACTTTGGCTTTCAAAGGGAGCCAGGGCTGTGGAGTGCCCGAATAAGATCGGTATCGGGCTAAAAGTAGGCTTGGGCCCTTGAGGTCTGAGAAATTGATGTCCATTACTAGGGTGCATTTATTGACAGGCGGAAAGCATTCCGCCATTCGGAGAAGGGACATCATGGGTGCTCGTCCTTGCTTCTGAGTATCGTATTCCCTGACACGTTCTTGCTGTCAACTTGCGTGATCTGCCAGGAGGGTGCTGCGGCGATGCGACGTGGGAGGTGGCTGGTCTCCATCCGAGGCATTGACGGAGCCATGGAGGGGTCTGAGGACGGCTTGAGGCTAGCAGAGATTGAAAGTCAAGGAGATGAGCCAGACTCTTCTTCTTCTTCTCACGCTTCAGACGTAGAGGGATGCTTGCAAGAGGACGGTCAGGAAAATCTTTCTCCACTGTCACCTGCGGACTGGAGTGTAGATGACGTGGCCAGCTGGCTCTGGAACCTGGAGGGTGACAGGCATCGAAGGCAGGCCGCGTCTCCACTTGCAAGCCCGTGGAATGCGGCGGCGGAAAGCACGCAGCTAGCAAATCACACGCACACGCACACCCACACACCCACACACACACACACCTACACACATACGTGCATACAACCATGCACACATAGGCATACAAACGCACAAACACACATCCACACATACACAGATACACACATACACAGATACGCACATACACACATACGCACAAACACACATCCACCCATACACAGATACACACATACAAACATACACATGCACACACACACACACACATCCACACATACACAGATACACGCATACACAGATACGCACATACACACATACGCACAAACACACATCCACCCATACACAGATACACACATACAAACATACACATGCACACACACACATCCACACATACACAGATACACGCATACACAGATACGCACATACACACATACGCACACACGCACACACATACGCACCTACACACATACAAACCTACACACATACGCACATGCACACATACACACAAACACACCTACGCAAATACACATGCACACAACCACACACACACCTACACACATGAACTCAAACACGCACACACACATACACACATACACACACACAACCACACCCATACACACATACACACATACACACACACACAGACACACGTACACACACACATACACACGTACACAAATACACAAATACACACACACATACACACATACACACACATACACACACATACGCACATACACACACAACCACACCCATACACACATACACACACACAGACACACGTACACACATACGCACATACACACATACACACACACACACACATACACACATACACATGCACACAGACACAAATACACACATACACACATACACACATACACACACACACACATACACACATACACCAGACACACATACACACATACACACATACACACACACACACATACATACACACACACATTCGCACACATATGCACACACACACATGCACACACATGTACACACACACAGGCAGAGACAGGCACAGCGACACACAGCTCAGAGACAACATACGCATAGACACACACACACACACGCGCACGCACGCCTGCTCGCCCGCCCGCCTGCACGTACGCACGCACTCACGCAAGCGAGCACGCACGCACGCACGCGAGCTCACACACACGCACTTTCACACACAGACACACGCGCACCCACTTACACACACACACACACACGCGCACACACACTTACATACACACACACACACACACACACACACACACACACACACGCGCTCACACACACACTTATATACACGCACAGACTTACACACACACACACGGAATTACACACACAATTACACACACACACACACTGGCACTGCGGTTTCCAGGCAGCCAAACGCTTGCAAGTGCTGCTTCGGCCAGGTATGTCGAGGCGTTCAGGCGGGAAGCGATCAATGGCAAGGCGCTAGCTCTCCTCAACATGGCGGAGCTGAAGCAAGAGCTTCAGGTGAAGGAGCTGCGCAACCGCAAGGCCGACCGGCTTTCAGTAGCCATTCGCTGGCGTGGGTGTCAGTGCCAACAGGGCCACCCAAGCGGCCAAAACTTCAGGTAACTTGCTCAACTGTCGAGGCTTGAACTAGATAACGCTAGATGAGAAAGCCTGCCCCCCCTTGCTGTTCTACTTGCGCGGGCATGGGTGTGCAAAATCACGGACAATTGGCCTTGAGGTGGTTGATGCCGTGCGTAGGGCGTAGGGCCTGCACGGTGGGAGCTGAGTGGAATGCCTGGGTTCATTGGCTTCGCTGTGGAGAGGTGACCGTGTTTCGTGGAAAAAAGGGCACAGCCTGTCAGGTCATCTATGATGAGATTCAGATGCTGTTTCAGCAGAAGATGCTCTGAAGTGCAAAATGATGACAGCGCCTTCACCTCATTTAATTATACTGAGCCATTTTAGAAGCACACTTACCGTTCAGCGACTGACTTTCAACGTCAACAAACTCTTCTCGCAGTCCTGCGCGGGCGCACAATGTACAGTCAACGTGCGCCGCAACCAGCTGCTTCGGTTTGTAGTCTCATCCAGTCCATGGGTGCAATGCGCCCAAGCCAGGAAATCTAGCTGAGTGGCACGCATGTCGGCAGAACTCTGACTAAGACTCAACATGCGTTTTGCTGCTCTGGAGGTGAAAAGCAATTGGCTTGCACTAAACTACCTTCAGCCCTGACTGACGTGCAAAACATTCGCAGGCTGCATTTGTGTTGCACGCTTGCGAGCAAGTTGGGCTGGGATGCCGGTCACGGGAGGCACAGCAGACAGACCCTTTCAGATCGCATCTAGCCTTTACAATTTCCTGTCGCGCAATGGACATCCGGTGCCTGCGATTGACCAGCGCGGGACTTGTGGAGCCTGCAGGCCTTCGCTACGGCGCAGACCACTTGTCGCAAAGGAGCTTCAATAGCAGGTTGCGCCGGCCTCAGCGGTCGTCTGGCGAAGGGAAATTCCTGCGCACCTAGCGCCATCTCATGTTGCTGGACCACAACAGGAAAATAGCATGCTTTTGAAGACTGGCCTATCGTTTGCATGCATGGGTCGATGTCCGTGTCGCCGAGGCTGGATTCGCTTCCTGCTTCCCTGTTCATCCCCACCCCGGCCTGGCGGGACCTGCCTGTGACATCTCTTCCGGGCTACGACAAGGTCTTCGTTGTGGACCCTGAGATGGCGGAAGGATGCGTCATGCTGATCCTGTTCTTGACAAAAGATGGCCGGGAGAGGATGGACTTCCATGACAACCCTTTGGCCTACCAGCTCATCTCAAGCAAGCAACGCCAGGAAAAGCACATCAAGTTTGTGAGCGGCAACGTTGTGCTGCTGAGACATCCAGGCTTCGCAGTCCGGCCAACGGTGCAAAGTCTGAGCTTGGACACCTTCAAGAAGCGGACAGCAGCGCTGCCGGACTTCAAGGTATCCTTCCCTGGGCGGCCGCAGACCGCGCCCATCTTCGTGCCACGGCCCCGGGGCGGCTTTGCCCTGCCAGGGCCCGACGGAGCCGCAGCCCCAGCTGCTGCAGCCCCAGCTGCTGCAGCCCCAGCTGCCGCGGCCGCGCCGGCGGCAACGCCCAGGCTCAGCCCCACCCCGGTGCCGGCAGAGGACGAGTTCTGGGGCGCCGCCCAGGAAAGCTACGCCAGCGTGGCCAGGGCTGCCAACAAGGCGGAGGATTTCTCCGATCTGACGGATGACGCCAGCACGGCTGGCTCATCCGCAGCGCGGTCGCCAGCAGACTGGGCGGTGGACGAAGTGGCCGCATGGCTTGCTGCCTTGGACTTCGGCAGGTGTGTTAGGCCAGGCCAGGGAGATGAGATGTCGTTGCCAGAAACCTGCCGGGAAGTTTGAGCCCATGCTTGTGATAAGAAGGCAAATTTAGCCGAGCGCTGCCGGTGTGCTGGCGCGCGCCAGGTATGTTGACACCTTCCGCCGCAACGAAATAGACGGGAGAGTGCTGGCTGAATTGACAAAGGACAGGGTTCAGTTTGACAACAGCTTGGCCTTCAATATTATACGTAACATTGCAACCGGGCAATTGAGCAATCCCAAAACTCAGGCAGTGCAGCAGAAGTCCAGGGTACGCGTATGTACGCGTTGTGTTTCCTGAAGCTTGTCGCATCGAGGACGAGCTGAAGGACGATTTGGGCATCAAGGAGCTGGGCGTCCGGAAGGCCGCTGGGTCATCGACGGTTTCTTTTATCCAACGCGATGTCCGGATTTCGGCTCGTGAAGCTATGATGTTTTTGTTTCTTGTGCTGACTTGGAAGCGCCCTACGTCAACTCTGATGCTTGCGCAGTGAATACTTCCTCCCCAACATGCTAGCTTTAGAGTATTGCAGGGCAAAGTGTCCCAGTCTAAGAGACTTGGAAGTTTCAATGTGTGTTTTGCATGTGTGTAATTTTGAATGGTGCTTGCCGCTGCGTGAGAATTCACTGTGCTGAAAAGTCCCAATTCATCCGGCCCGCTACTGTTGACAGTGAGTTGGCAGCGGTTGTTTCCCGCCTTGTCAGGTCATCTTCAACGAGATTCAGGAACTCTTCCAGTGATCCGAGGGAATTTTCGATTTGACTGTTGTGGTGTTGATGTGTCCCGTTTGCAGTGTACAGCTGATATCCTCTGGTTTCTAAATGCTGACATGTTTGCGCAGGCAAGACTTTGTGCAAGCCCTGGCAACAAAAGTATCCTGCTCAGCTCGTTCCAGCGCAGTTGGGCTTATCAAATCTTCAGTGGATTCAGTGGCTGCTGCGCTGTGCTGCCGATCCGCAAGTAAAAGTGCTCAAACTGGCCAACGCGAACTCCTCGATCCTGCGTGCAATGTTCGGTGGACCATTCGCGATGGGCGGCAATGGCTTCGGTGGCTTGCCCATGGGCATGCCCGTGATCGTGCGCGATTTGCGAGCGGATAGGTCACAGCCGCCCAGGGAGGTGACGGTGAGAGTTGGCGGCGTCCCGATCCATGGCCTGGGCATGGGCCCTTTCGGGCCATTTCCGGGTCTCGACGACGGGCTCATCACCCACGCGATACATGAGGCGCTGCAGCGGGACAGCGTGCCAGTGGGGGGCGCAAACGCCACCCTGGAGCTCTACCACAACACCAGCCCGGACAGAGCCGAGGCGATCGTGCAGTCGCAGCGCATGTATCGCGGATCCGACGGCCTGGCTGGTGGAGGCATCTACTTTGCGGAGAGCGAGGCTGAGGCCAGGAGGAAGGCCCACAACCACGGGGCCATGCTGAGCGCCACGGTGCGCGTGGGGAAGGTCAAGGTGGTGCACCGCTCCGCGGATGCCAGCTACTTGCAGCTGCGCAGTGAGGGCTACGACTCGGTGAAGATCCTGGGCCGGGACTCCGGCGCCGAGTACGTGGTTTACAACTACGACCAGGTCACAAACATCCGGCGAGTGTGAGTCACTGAGCGGTTTTCCGGGCTAATGAGAGCACCTGAGCTTGACTTTTCTGGATGTCCCTGCCCGGACCTCGAATCCTCCGGGCTTGGGCGTTGTGCAGGCTTGATTTTGGGAGCCAGACTCCGCACTTTGCAACCAGCAGTCCAAGCAAGACTTGTGGCAGGACTTCGGAGCAAAAATGATCAGATGCTGTTTGTCGTGGTTCTCGTTGTTGGCGGTTTGCCACTTGGGCATACAGTTTTCATAGCGCTTTACTTGCAGCATGACCGGGAATCTTCAAGTGCTCCTCGGGGCAGCAGGGCAAGTTTCATTGGTTGGCTGGCTGAATTGATGAGACTTGATTCTATCATGCGACATGTTACAGTGCATGCTTTACATCTCAAATTTTGTCACCCACTCATGGTGCCACCCAATTATGACAGGGAAGTCATGTATCATGTGCATGAGACGCTGAGTTGGGGATTCTTTCAAGGCAGATCACCCACATGAAGCTCTGGGTCACGAGGTGTGCGGCGCCCTCCTTGCGGGGAATGAAGGAGTCCAAGGGCAAATCTCTGAGACCATTGTCAGGTTATGCCAAGAGTCCGAGGCTGGGATCCCCTGTTGGCTTTCAAGCGCAGCACAGCCACAGCGAGAGCAGTGATGATATGTATTGAGTGAGTGCCCCAAAACACAGATCGGCAACAACTGACAGCCTCCTCGTGACTTCGCATCACACACCGAGAGAGCCGCGAGAAACACAATTCCGGGAGCGCTGTGGCTCTCAGACCTGGCAGATTTAGATTTGCGTGCTTGGCAGTTGATCTCTTGACCTTGGCCATGTCTGGCGCAGTTTGGTCCTGGAGCACTGGCCATTTCCGGCCCTACGATGCAGAAGTGAGCCGCCTGATTGAGGAGGGCTTTTGCAAGAACCAGCAAGAAGTCCGCATCCGGTTGTGGACGGGCACCGGACACGAAAGCTACCGCATCAACTTCCACAAGATGCGCCAGGACCGCGTTTGCTTGCCTATCGCGCAGAGCTTATCGCTTTCGTGGCAAGTCTGGAGAACTGTCGCCACAAAATGGCTTCAATCTTCCTGGGTTGCGGGTTGAAAGCGTTTCCAATTTGAGGCACTTGCTTTAGAGCCCTGATGCTGCTTAGATATTAGTCCTGAGACCTGAGCCCGTTAGAGAGTTGGCAGCCCGCTTTCAATAGAATGCCTAGCGCGGTTTTGGGAAACCAGGAGAGCCTCCGTGACGGTCACAAGTGGCGGCCTGTGCAGCGCACTCAGGCGCCGGAAGTGGCAAGTGAGATTTTGGCCTGTCCAAAGTTCAACATGAAACCAAGGAATCACAATGTCAATGTGAGCACCTGACAGAACATAGTCAGTAGTATGTGGCACGTGGCTTGAGAAGACATTAGGGCTCTTCCCCCCAATCAGCCAACATTATCAGAGCTCACCTCACTTTCTCTACGCATGGCCGTTGGGAGGAACAGCCAATACTTGTGCGAGTGTTTCTTACGTGACATTAGGTTGCCTTGGATTCCACGTTTAATTGCGTGTGTGTGTGTGTATGGCCCAGGAGACACCGAGGCGTGAATTTAGATTCTCTCGGCCGCAAGGCAGAGGCTAAGATTCACCTCTCTGTTCTACGGCAGGGGTTGCTCCGAAGCGGAACTTGCGCCATCATCGGCTTGGCAATTCAGCGCATCAAACACTTCAGCGCAGGCCAAGCTACTCGAGCCTGGTAGCTACTTCTGGCACTTGAGAAACCCAAGCATGAATGTCGGCTGTCCAAGCAGCTTGCTCAGCATTTGTAAGTATGTGACATGTCAGCGGAGTAGAGGAACAGCAAGTGGCTGCTCAATTGTGGTGGCCATGGCCAAAGAAGCTGGTTGTTTCCCTCCAAAGGAGGTTTTTCCCTGCATGTGCTGTTTTGCTAAGATTGGAACTGGGTTGCTGTTTGCAAGCGACCAACCTTTCAAGGCCGAATCTGTACAATCCTACCCTTGCCCGATTGAGCCATCGTCACATCACCACTGTGGCTGCACGTGGGGTGGGCATGCTCGCTGTAGAAGTCTGGCGAGAGCCATGCAAGGAGAGAGACGACCCAAACTCGATTTTTGCATTGCTACGTCAATCTCGTATTGCTGCGCAAAAGGCATTTGTAGAACTGGATTGTAGCAAACGCGTCCAAAGAGCGTTGCTACGAAATGCACAAGTCATCCCGGGGCAGTATGAAGTGGGAGACATTGTGTGCTTCAGACGAGATTACATGGGCAAGACCCGCTGGAGTCCGGCAAGTCGAGTGATTGGAAAGGAATCAGACAAGAATGTGTGGGTGCTTTGCAAAAACATTCCTGCTTTGGTGGACGGATCAATCCTACGTCCAGCAAACGATGCAGAAGCACTAGGGAGAATGATCCTGCACGGCCATGAGATAGTTCCCTCAGAAGTGATTCAAGAACATGGGCAACAGGCATTTGAGGATGCAACAGGGGTTGAAGTGCCCGTTCCTGAGGATGAACAAGGTCTAGATGAGGCCGATGAGGATGATAGTCCACCAGCACGACTGGGACTAACGCCTGTGCTAGAGACAGAGGTGCCAGACGTTGAGGAGACGGAACCAAGACAAACAACCACGGAAAGAAACGTGAGACCCCGTCTAGCCAGCACAATTGAACCAGATCCTGAGAGAGGGACAAGTGCAAGTGAACCAAGCTCTGGCGTGCGAGTCGACAACAGCTCATGGATGATTTACCGGAACCAATTCGAAGAGTTTTCGAGGATGTTCGCGTGGAACAATCCGAAGCAAGCGCAAACGTCGCCACAACAAGCAAAGGGAAGACACGAGAGAAGTTTGTGGCATTTATGGCGGCAAGGACGGATGAAGAAGCCCAGGAGAAGCTGCTGATCTATGACGAGGTGGACGCAAGAGTGAAGAAGTGTCTGGATGAGAGCAGACGCATTGAATGGAAGCAATTCCAGAATTTTGGCGCAACTATCCCAATACAAGGGAAGGAGCTTGAAGATCTCCTGAAACCAGGACACAAGTCCGTACCTTCCCGCTGGGTAGAAGTCAACAAGACTGAGTATCTGAAAGACAAGAAGGAGTACGTCCCTAAGTACAAGAGCAGACTCGTGTGTTGCGGCAATGATTTCCGGGCACCAGAAAATGCACTTGTTGTGAATGATGATTCTCTTCATTTGCAAATTATGCATCTGACACAGACAATACTCCTATGTCACTCCACCTCAATCTTCCTGTCTTGAAGTGCATCGATGCGCCTAAGCCATCTTGTGCAAAATCAACAACCTTGTTCGCCTCCTTCAAGGTCGCCAATGTTGCGTCCTTTGTCATGGACTGCAACCTCGATGTTCTGTACAGTAGGTCTGGTCGTCCTTGTCTTGCTATCCATGAAACTGTTCCTACCACTGAACGAAGCTTCTTTAGCTCATCCTCAGTCGCGGGCTCATGTGGTTTTCGGCCCTGTGCTATGGCTATTGGTCGGATCTTCCGGCTTAAACTGCTTCCGCAGTGCCTGAACTGCTTCTCCTCACTGCTTCCTACGACGAACTTGCTGAGCAAGTCTGTCCTGATTCCCTTAAAGCATACAGGAAGTCATCAACGTGAGTTGTGAGCACTGCGTCTAAACCACCTTCACCGATGCGGTACTAGAAAGCTGGGAACAGCTTGCTTGAACTCAGTCCGCATGCCTTTGCGTCCGAACCCACTTGCAGCCAGAATCCTCTTCCGCTATCCGTCAAGCCATAAACCCGTTTCCTCACAAGAAGGTATGCCCCTTTGGGCACATCTGGAAGTCCTCCTCTCGGCTGACGCATAAGCAGAACTCTGCCAAGATACATCGCCTGAGAGTGCGCCGATGTTACGTCACACGACTTGAGGAGTACGCCATGAATGGCTGCCCAAGATGCCACCACATGATGTGTCTCCAAGTCACTCGTGGGCGCATCTCCTCGCAGTCCATCGCGGTCCTCAGGAGTCCAAATTGCACTGTGTACTGCCATTGTCAATGCAAGCAGAGACATACGCGAGCAGGGCTAGAGAACGCAGATAGACTGCGAGCTCTGATATGCGAGACACAAGGAAGGCTGCGTGGACTAAGCGCATGGGAGGAAGACGTCAGACAGAACGTGCCTCGCAGACCCTTGGTAAGCCATTTGAAGGGTGAGGTACCACCAAAGATTGCAGACAAGCGACTCAGCATTGAGATCACTTTGGACGCCTGAAGGCATCAGAGATGTACAAGAAAGGAGGAGACCGAGTGAGGTGGATTAGTACAGCAACCGTGGTAGCTGACAGTCTCACCAAGCAATGAAGGCTGACCTGTCATGGGCGAATACGTGGTCGAGATTGACCTTAATGAGAAACCAGAGGATGCGAAGCCGGATCGACACCTGAAAGCAGGTTGAGTGTGAATAAACCCTGCATGTACAGATGTGAAGCCAGGATGTCGATCATGGGAGCATGGATTGATGCACGCTCGGGGCCTTTTCGGAGTCATCCGGCGCGAAAAGATGCGTGAAGCCCGCATTTGCTGAACCAGATTCAGAACGGGCTTCCGGATTTTCAGACCACTTTTAGTCGTGCGATGCGCAGGTTTACTTCCAGCATCTTCCAGCAGCCTGCTAGTGATTGCCAGGGAACCCAAGACAAAACGGCGGCAGTAAGCCACTTAGCGGAGTTTAGCTCCGTGAGTAGTTGCAAATATTTGCAAGCTTGAGCACGATGCATGATGGAGTGTCAGGGATAATTGACAAGCTGAGATTGCGAAGGATTACGGCTCACCGTGGCGAACGTCCGGCTCAACCGCTGTAGTGAAGTCCCATTAACCAAGGATAATCGAGGCATGGTGCAGATCAGCTGTGTCCGATTGACCGCGGAAGGCAAGGTGGAGCCTGCAGCTTTTGAGTACGAAGGGGACCGCCTCACAGACAGGGACTTTGATGAAGCCCTGCCCGGCACTGAGACTCACTAAGTCGTTAAGCGCAGTGCTGAGAGAAGGTGCTTGAGCGATTGCTTGACTGCTCGCGCCTCGCCTTGCGCCGAGGCTCAGCAAGCTGCGGGTGGACTTGTTCTTCTCTGGGACTCGGCCAATGCCTGTCCGGGACCTTGAAGGCTTTCAGAAGGTCTTCGTGCGGCAATCGGATGTGGTCAGCGAGTTCATCATGCTGACCCTGAGTCTGACCGGGGAGGGCCGTGTCCGCATGGGCTTTCAGAAAAATGAAGCAGGCTATGAGCTGATCTCCCCGCAAGCGTGGCTCAGGATCAAACTGACTTGCCTTCTGGGCCCTGTTGTGATTCTCAAGAACCCAAGGTTCACTGTGCTGAAGACAGGTCGACCCCAGGATCTGAGCGTCGCCCAATTCTGGGCGTTCGCTGGCCGACTGCCGGACTTCCGCAGGCTCTGTGTATGCGAGCGCCCGCGTCTGGAGCAGTTCGTGCCCGTGCCCGCGCCAATCCAGCCAGGCCCAGCCCGGCGCCCCCGCACGGAAAGCCAGCCCGGCAGGGCGCGGCCGAAGGCGGAAGCCAGGATTGCCAGAACCACCAGGAAGTGGGAGGGACTGGATGTGGCTGTGCCTGGCACGAAGCCGGAGATCCCCAAGCCGTTCTGCTCCGGCCCGCCCGGACTGATCCGGATGGATACCCTTGAGCGGGCACCCAAGGCAGGCGAGGCGCCTGACAGCGATTTGCGCTCACCAAGCCGCATCTCGACAGCGGCGTCGGCTTCAAGCGTCGACACTCCACCGCTCGACTGGACTTGCGACCGCGTTGCGGGATGGTTGGACAGCCTGGATGGGTGCAGCAGGCCGGGTGCAAGGAGAGCAGAGGGCGCCGGCCTCAAGCATGGCCAGCCACTGCGTGTCACCACACCAAGCACATCAAGTCACCATACCAGGGCATCAAGTACCCATAGCAAGTACATTAAGTCACCATGCCAATTACATCAAGTACCCAAACCAAGTACATCAAGTACCCAAAGTGTGGGAAGTTGTGGCCTGCAAGTTTCGCGCTCAGCCGGCGCGTGTGAACTCTGTTGCAACCGGGCCAGGTATATCCGCCAGTTCCAGGAGAATTTGATTGACGGCCGAACTTTGAGCAGCTTGACGCTGGAAGAGCTCAAGGGTGACCTGGGGGTGAAGGAGCTCGGCCCACGCAAGGCTCCTTGGCGCAATTCCTTGCGCGCCGGGCATGATGCGTGTTTGTTTCTCAAACGCAGGGGTGGTGTTCGTTCCACTGCCAGCTGTGTGTCCAACCCCATCCCAAGCGGATCCATGCGGCTGGCCAACGTGTTCCATGTTTGCCGCCTGCACGCCAAGGTCATCCATCGGGCAATTCAGCAACTGTTCCAGGAGTGAATTAGCGTTTAGCATTTCCTCCTTGCTCCATGCGGTGAGGGGCTGTGACAGTTTTGTTTGCCGCTTGCGAGACTAGTAAGTGTCAAACAGGGCAAGACTTTTGGCAGGGCCCATGATGCTTTCCACGCAAGCGCAGTGCGGAAAAAGAGCGGTCTTCCTTATGTTTTTTAGCCAGTAACTAGATCCACAATTTGAGCTACACGCATACTTTACATTGCATTACATGAGGCTCACATGGGAGGATAAGCAACTGCGACACTCATCCCATGTAGGCGATTCTTGCATTGAGTTGAATACTACTCGTATGGGTGGATGCCAAAATTATAAAATAATCATGTGTTTACCTGTTGTGTTCATGTGTGCTGTTCAACATAGCGCACTCCGTTCGTTTTGGCTCAAGAAAAGGAGCCGCCGCGCTTGTTTGCCGGTTATATTAGATTTTCATGGTAGCGGAGCTGCTGATTACTTCAGTGGCCTGGGTCATTGGGTTCATCACTGCGCTGGGGTGGCCACTGCTTGTCCTGTTGGCAGTATCGGCTGTTTCGGCCGGTACGGTCATAGGCAGACAGTGGGTCCACCGGGCCACGCGCGAGAGGCGCGTCATCGGGCGCTGGGCCCGCCTGATCGTGAAGGTCAGGACCAGCAGAGGCAGTTTGCCTACCTTGGTCACTTCCTTAGCTCGTTGAGTGGAAGTGTGACGAAGAGGATCAAGAAGCTATGGCCCAAGATGCACTGGCTGATGAGATGCGGCGGATGTCGCAGGCGCTACAGCAGAGCCAGGAGCAGAACGCCCTTTTGCAGACCCAGATGAATTCGCTGGCTTAACAACAGCAGCAACAGAGAGCCGTTGGCACCGGCACTCAGCCGAATGTGATGATGCAGGACCTTGGTCAGATCTTCGCAAGCATCACCCAAAGCCAACGGGATCTTGCTGACGCCATGAGGTCCCAACATGAACGAAAGTTCTTCCTAATCGACACGAAAGGCCTTGCGAAGCCTGACAGATTCAACGGCGCGGAGGAGAACTTCCTATACTGGCGGGTTCGGCTTGAAAGTTTCATTGTGGCCTCCATGCCGGACCTTGAGGAGGTCTTAGAGTGGTCCGAGGAACATAGGATGAGATCACCAGATCCAGGGGCTCCATGAATCCCACGCACAAGGAGGTGAGGGACATCGAGCAGGTGGACGCGCAGCTGTATGCACTGCTGCAGACGCTCTGTGAGCGTGAGGCCTTTGGTGATGTACCTGGAGACTTGCCTTGGGACCCGCGTTAAGAACTTCTCGCTATCTGCAGGTGCGGATGATGGTGTGGCTCCCATGGACATCGGCGGCTTCGGTAAGGGCGGAAAAGGTAATGGAAAAGGCCGAGGTGGAAAAGGCGGCAAAGGCAAGAAGGGCAAAGATGGCAAGGGGAAGTCAAATGCGGCGAAGCCCACATGCCACAACTGCGGCAAGCCTGGACACTACGTCAAGGATTGTGGAGCGCCGGAGGAGGAGCAGCCAACAAGGGTCAGCTACGGCAAGGACGGCTATGACAAAGGCGGCAAAGGCAGCAAAGGTAAGACAGGAAAGAAGGGACAAGGCTCCAAGAAGGGTGTCAACAGCTTTGACGACGGCTATCACCACGATGGAGGACAAGTAGAGCCTGAAGCTGAGGCGCATGACACGGGCTACCTGTCCATTGCTGGATTGGACAATGTGAGCCTGTCGGAGGACGAATTGGATGAGGCCGAGAAAGATGAGGAAGGTCCCTGCCTGGACCCATGCGAACAATGCTATGTGAATGGGTGTGCGTCGGCGGCGACTAAGCCCGATGAACATCACCTCACATGTGTGCTCAGTGTCCAGAAAAAAAACAATTTCGGGGAACAGACCGTAGGTGAACAGATCGTAAGGCCCCCCAGAAAAAACCCGACAGAAACCGACAAAAACCGACAAAATCCGACAAAATCCGAATCAAATTAAATCAATTTTAACCAGCTACGGCACACAATTATGTGCTACCAGTGATAGCTTTGAAAATGAATCATTAACAGCCAAAAAATAGTAACCAACAAACAACAACAAGCAACAAACTAACAACAAACAACACAAACACAACACGAGCAACGACGCAACAGCCAACAATACAATATCAATAACAGCAACGGACAACCAAACTTACACACACACAGACAAAATAGACTATCAAAGACATGGAAAAAGCGACCGTTCAGAACCGCAAGGGACAGAGAACTTTAACGAGATAGGCCTAACAACAATTCTTCGAAAGATCTTTGAGTACGCCGCCTTTCTTAGGCATAGGACGGATAGGCCTAACAACAATTCCTCGAAAGATCTTTGGGTGCGCCGCCTTTCTTAGGCATAGGACGGATAGGCCTAACAACAGTTGCTCGAAAGGTCTTTGAGTACGCCGCCTTTTTTAGGCATAGGACGGATAGGCCTAACAACAATTCCTCCAAAGATATTTGAGTACGCCGCCTTTCTTAGGCACAGGACGGATAGGCCTAACAACAGTTGCTCGAAAGGTCTTTAGTACGCAGCCTGCTTTAAGGCCATCCGGAACGGATTGGCCTAACAACAATTGCTCGAAAGATCTTCGGGTACGCCGCCTCTCTTTGGCATAGGGACGGATAGGTTTAACAACAATTCCACGAAAGATCTTTGAGTACGCCGCCTTTCTTAGGCATAGGACGGATAGGCCTAACAACAACTCCTCGAAAGATCTTTGAGCACGCCGCCTTTCTTAGGCGTAGGGCGGATAGGCCTTTCAACAGTTCCTCGAAAGATCTTTGAGTGCGCCGCCTTTCTTAGGCATAGGACGGATAGGCCTAACAACAGTTCCTCGAAGGATCTTTGAGTACGCCGCCTTTCTTAGGCATAGGACGGATAGGCCTAACAACAGTTCCTCGAAAGATCTTTGAGTACGCCGCCTTTCTTAGGCACAGGACGGATAGGCCTAACAACAATTGCTCGAAAGATCTTCGGGTACGCCGCCTCTCTTTGGCATAGGGACGGATAGGTTTAACAACAATTCCTCGAAAGATCTTTGAGTACGCCGCCTTTCTTAGGCATAGGACGGATAGGCCTGACAACAATTCCCCGAAAGATCTTTGAGTACGCCGCCTTTCTTAGGCATAGGACGGATAGGCCTAACAACAATTCCTCCAAAGATCTTCGAGTACGCCGCCTTTCTTAGGCATAGGACGGATAGGCCTAACAACAGTTGCTCGAAAGGTCTTTGAGTACGCTGCCTTGCTTAGGCATAGGACGGATTGGCCTAACAACAATTGCTCGAAA